AGGACTGGGCAGCCTGTGCCTGAAAGACAAATGCAACAGTAGAAGCAAAGCTTGAGATAGTCTTTGCAGGCTTACACTTGCCCGCTGTTAGCTGCTATAAAATCAACCAATCTCGTCCCCAGGGCGCTTCTCCCTGGCTCTGGAGGTTGGGGGGGGGGGGGTGGAAAAGTCAAAATTTATAGTTCTGAGTTGTGGGTAGTGATCCAAAGAATTGTTGAAAAACAGTCTGATCCAACAGACGATCTTAATTTAGGTCGACCCAAATTAGAGTTTGGTCCGTCTCAATGAAAAGTTCGACGTTTGGCCTAGGGCTGAGGTACCTCATGATCAAGGCTTTCAAAGCCTGTATTGGTAATTACATGTGATTAGCAGACTTTGCTCAATTTGCTTTATACAGGGCTCCTGCTTTATATGAAATAAATTGATACGTCGCTGATGAGTGCAATCGTTAGAGTAGATAATCGACAACACTCGAAAACTTAATCAGGATATAATCGATTGATTAAAGGGAAAAGTTGTTTCTAATCGATTATCGATTTTCATCGAAATTTTGTCGGTGTTAACATTTCCGTTTCTTCCAGCGGTTATAAACCTTGGCAAAGAGCAAAACATTTCAAATGGATATATTTGTAGCGATGAGTATTTTACAAATTACAGTCGACTCTCTCTTAACACCTAGGGTTGGTCCCGGCCTTTTTTGTCTCCCTTTACTTGACCCTCTATAAAACTGGTATCTCTCTAGGACGGATACTTGGTGCCGGTCGATAAATAAATATTTAGGGTATCATCGCTTCATCGATTGGTTCTCCCATATCGGTTTTAATCGATTTCTCTCTCCAGTAATATGTATACGCTTTGTTGTGGTTTGTCAAATATTCGACAAGTAGACTACCGTATTAATTCGAATAAGCGCCCAACCTCGAATTAGCGCCCACCTCAAATAAGCGTCCATCCTAAAGGCAGAAAAAGTTAATAAACGCCCAGCATCGAATAAGCGCCCACCCCCTCCTCCCCCCAATCAAACTCAAATAAGCGCTCACCCCCATCCCACCCACTTGAATGAATAAATTCTAATAAGAGACTTCCCCGAGAACGGAGTTTTCTTCAGAGTTATTTTTACAGAAACCTTGCTTTTTTACTTCTTCGCGTTTTGTTATTAGCATTTATTGTTTCGTTGCAAAATAAACATACTTCACTTGCTGAAGATGGTGAAAATTTAATAAGCGCCCACCTTGAATAAGCGCCCACTCTCAAGGTCCAAAAATTTAATAAGCGCCCAGGGCGGTTAATCGAATAAATACGGTAAACAGATTTGGAGTAATTTTCAGCATACTGTTGGCGCAGTTACTCTGGTAACAGCTATCTGACATATGCTATTTTATTAAACTGCAGATTACCCAGTGTTACAACATGATGAGTGCCTTTAGTAAGTTCCTGTGTCGTACCCAGCCTACCATTGCAGCGAGGTAGTCTTCGAAAATCCCAACCGAATTTCCGGCAGGTTATACGTACTCCTCCTTTGAGTAAAAAACCTTCAATGCATTTAAACACCAGTGTAGCTCCAATGTTGTATTTAGGGTCTGATATAATAACAGTACCATTTCTTAGTGTCAGATCAGTCGCAGGATTTTCGCACCGAATTGCTGAGAACAGACAAAAATAAACCGATTATGATTTTTCATTATTTCGCTCATCCTTGTAAATACAGTATACAGGCGAGCTTTCACACAAAAAGATTAACTTTGAAAAGGAGAATTTATACAAGTAATATAGGGCGCACCAGTTACGCAGTTTTTTGCGCAGGAATCTCATTCGCGTGCGCAGGAATATATTAACTAGGTGACGTCATAGGCTATTGTCTTGATCTCATGAATAAAATGCTGTGGTTTCACATTAACTTGCTGTGGAATCTCATTAAGTATATCCAGTTTGACGGGTTTATCAATAATGTCATGTTCTATTTTTTATCTTGCGGCGGTCATGGTTGGTATAACCAATTTGACAGGTTTTAGTTATTTTCGGAAGATGATGTCATATGTATTCCGGGGTACTATGATGTCATAGTTGTTTTGATTGGTTGACCAGAATAAGAAAGACGCTCATTGGCTGTCTCGTTTGACGAAGCATTCTGGTTGGTTGCCATATTTTTTATTGTTTCAACGATATAAAAGCCTGCTCACTGCCTTCCCGCATATTAAGTATGTGCCTAGTCAGTGTCTTCCTGCATATTAATTAAGTGTCTAGTCAGTGTCTTCCTGCATACTAATTCGGTATAGGCTTACGAATAAGCGTCACTCTACTTCAATAGAAACAATAGGCTTGCCTAGACTTGTCCGGTAAGTAACTTGATTAAAAGGAAAATAAGAGCGATCACCTAGCAACGCTAGAAACGGCTTCCCATATCTTATTTAGCGCTAAAACTCGGATATATAAACAAAACACACGCACATATACACAACTTGGAGCTGAAAACGCTTTATTCCAAGTTTGTCTGACTATTACAGAACCGTTTTCCCCATCTATCTCGAGGAAATGAAAGTCTTGTCATTTTCACGCACGTTTAGTTAGGTAATTATGCGAGTTCACAAGCCCAAAAAGTTGAATACAAATTAGCTCTACAGGAAAAACCTCAAGGGATCATATTGACGTATTTTTATGAAAAAAATTACTTAACAAGGATCAATTGATTAAACACGTGACTAATAATTGCTAGCAATAAAATCAGACACAGATACCGTTTTAAAAACT